CTATATGAAGGTGAAGATTCGAGATTTTACACCAAAATTCACATTAATGGCGAAGAAATTGAGGGTCTTCTTGACAGTGGAGCAACGGTGTCTTGTTTAGGTAAGGGTTGTCTAGATCTGGTAGGAAAAATTGGTTTAACTCCTCAAGATTTCTTTTCTTTTGTTAAGACTGCAGATGGAAGTCCACACAAGATAACCGGGAAAATCCGTGCAGATATTACCTTCAATAATATGACTCACCCAATAGATTTCTTTTTGGTTCCTACACTTAACCGACAACTCTTCCTTGGAATTGACTTCATGAAAACCTTTAAAATGTTTGCGTCTGTTGAGAGTCTCACCACCAACGGCGTCAGTCTTTGTGATGAGGCTGATAGTGGAACCAGTGATGACAGAACTGTTCATAAATTGTCTGATCCACAACGGAAACGTTTGGATGGGATAATAGCAAGATTTCCTTCTTATTCAACACAAGGCTTAGGCCGGACTAAGTCTGAGGTCCACACGATCGACACAGGTGACGCAACTCCAGTTAAAAGTAGACACTATCCTGTATCTCCAGCTGTACAAAAGCTCATGTATGCAGAGCTGGATAGAATGCTCGATCTAGGAGTCATTGAGCCGAGTGAAAGTCCGTGGAGTCATCCTGTCACTCTAGTCAGAAAGGGCGACAAAAATAGGCTCTGCTTGGATGCTCGTAAGCTCAATGCTCTGACGGTCAAGGATGCCTACCCACTCCCGCACATTGAGGGATTGCTTAGCAGGTTGGGAGATACCTATTTTATCTCAAGTGTCGATTTAAAGGACGCTTTCTGGCAAATCCCATTAGATGAGTCCAGCAAAGAAAAAACGGCTTTCACAGTACCGGGAAGACCACTCTACCATTTTACCGTCATGCCTTTTGGGTTGTGCAATGCGGCCCAAAGGTTGTGCCGTCTAATGGATAGAGTGATCCCTTCGGTACTGCGGGACCGCGTTTTTGTTTACCTGGACGATCTTTTGGTGGTTTCGCCAGACTTCGAAACCCACCTGGAGTTGCTGAAGCGCGTTGCCGATCTATTAGCTGAAGCAGGACTAACCATAAATGTAGCTAAATCTAAGTTTTGCTTCAAGGAATTAAGATATTTAGGCTACATCGTTGGAGGTGGTGAACTCAAACCAGACCCAGCAAAAATTGAGACAATAACTCGTTTTTGTTTTCCAAAAACCGCGAAACAGGTACGCAGCTTTACGGGGGCAACAGGGTGGTATCGTAGGTTCATACCAAATTACGCAATGATCGCCGCGCCCATTTTCGATACCTTAAAGAAGGGAAAAGTTTTCCATTTTACTGAAGAGGCAAAGATAGCTTTTGAAAAACTCAAGACTGCATTAATCACTAGCCCTGTCCTGACTCATCCTGATTTTTCTAAACATTTTTATGTGCAGTGTGATGCTTCTGATCTGGGAATCGGAGCAGTGCTATTCCAAAAAGATAGCGAAGGAGGGGAACATCCCATTGCTTACTATTCCCAGAAGCTCACATCGGCACAAAAGAATTATTCAGTCACGGAGAGAGAGTGCTTGGCGGTGGTTAATGCAGTAAAGAAATTTCGCCCTTATATCGAGCTTATGCCATTTACAATTATTACCGACCATAGTAGCCTGAAGTGGCTGATGTCGCATAAAGATTTAAGTGGGCGATTGGCTCGATGGAGTCTTCATTTACAATCATTTAGTTGCGATATAGAACATCGCCAAGGGTCCATGAACGTAGTACCTGATACACTGTCAAGATACGATATGGAAGAGTTGTCGGTAAATGTAGATGCTTTAATAGACCTTTCTTCATCAGCTTTTCAAAACGAGGACTATAAAGATCTTATAGATAACGTCAGTAAGAACGCGGATCGGTTGCCAGATATAAAAGTGATAGATGGATTCGTCTACAAAAGGACACAATTTTACGACGGCTCACCTACCAATGAAGATTTTGCTTGGAAATTGTGGATTCCATTGGAGTTAACCAATGGAATTATCGAAAAAGCCCATTGTCTCCCTGTGGCCTCACATGGTGGTTTTCATAAAACCCTAAAAAGAATCAAGGAGTATTTTTATTGGCCCCTTATGAATAAGCAAGTTAGAGATTTCGTCCTTAAATGTCAAGTATGTAAAGAGTCTAAATCAGCCAACATAACGCTACGTCCTCCCATGGGCAAAGAAGCCAATGTGGAGAGACCTTTTCAAAGAATTTTTGTAGATTTTTTAGGTCCCTATCCGCGTTCAAAGGCCGGCAACACTTATATTTTCATTGTCCTTGACCATCTTAGCAAGTACGTTCTTCTTAAGGCTATGAATAAAGCCAGTACTAAAAATGTGGTTAAATTCCTCATATCAGAGGTATTTCATAAGTTCGGTACACCCGAAGTACTAATTTCAGATAATGGACAACAATTTGTAGCAAAGGAATTTGAGGACCTTATGACAAACTTTGGTATCTCTCACGTGCGCACAGCAACTCATTCGCCACAAGCTAACTCTTCTGAACGAGTCAACCAAAGCATTTTATCAGCCATACGTTCATACTTAAAGGATAGTCAGACAGAATGGGATAAATATTTGTCAGAGATAGAGTGTTCTTTGAGATCATCGGTTCACTCCGCAATAGGTGTCACTCCATATTTCGCCCTTTTTGGAATGAACATGGTGAATCATGGTAGCGTATTTGCTCTAGCGCGAAAGCTTAAGGTTCTGCAGGATCCGGAGGCCAATGTCCTTCCACAAACAATAAAATTAGAAATAATCAGAGAGAAAATAAGAGAGAATCTCCACCGAGCATACCTAATAAATGAAAAAAAGTACAACGTGCGATCTAGGAATGTGAAATTTATACCGGGGCAGGAGATATATCGTCGTAGCTTTCAGCAAAGTGACTTCAAAAGGAACTTTAATGCTAAACTAGGACCTAAATTTGTAAAGTGCAGAATTGTTCGACCAATTGGAAATTGTCTTTATGAAATAGAGGATTTGAGAGGGAAATCCTTAGGAGTATTCCACGTGAAAGATTTGAAACAATAAGAAATGGTTTTTCTACCGCATCCCATAATAACAGAAGAAGTCCTCTCACGATCTGAATAACACCAGCAAAAATTTAATGTTTAATAATTATTCACGGAAAAATATTTCCTTACGAGCTCATAGATTCATTTTCTCCTAAACTATATTTTTGTTATTATAAAGAAATAAAACGATTGTTCACTTACCGGCACAAATCCAAAAATAGATATATCATAAGATTACAGCGGCAAAGTAGAGATTTCTGCATGGTGGTTTTTACTCCTCATAGTTGGGCACAAAATCAGAATTTATTTGCTTTTCCACTTTAAAGTATAATCGCAACGTTGATTCGCCGTTAAATCCACAATCATTAACATTATTTTGTTTTGCTTTTATATTTCTTTTATGTTTTGATTCAAATTAGCCTTTGTTTTGATTTTGCTTCGCATTTGTTTTGATTCATTTCTTTCCTCACTTTCGTTATGTTTTTTTTCCGTTAACCTTTTTGTGACTCTACACATGTACTCTTTATTCTCTCTCATAGCTGTATTTCACACTCTTTGATCTTACTACTCTTACACTTTTGCTTTTAAGTAATCATATCACAAGAAAAGTATGGTCGTATGCACAAATATTCCCACTATTACAACAACAGGAATAACGTAGGCTTTTAATTAATGAAAAAACTTTTCTGATAGGCTTTTTTTTTACAATGCTCACTTCTTTTTGTTTTTCACTTGCATAGCCAATTAATACGCATATGAAATATAAATTATTGGACTTTTATTGCATACACAGATTTAGTATTGATGAAAATTATATTAATTCCATTTATACACTTTTCAACATACATAATTTATATCTTTATTATTAATATAAAATTGAATTTCTATATTTTTCCTTAAAATTTATATTCTTAGGCAGCACACATTTATTTTAGTAATTAAACGATTTTCTTAACTTTATTCTCTATTCTTTTAGTTTTAGATTATTTTCTGTTTTTTTTTTTTCAATTACACATCGCTTTGTTTGCACTGAAGATGATCGACGATTTCTAGAATGAAACGGTTATTTCAACCCAGCAACAAACCTATCACATAGTACGCAACTCGTTGTGGTACAGTCGTATGAAAGCACAGCACAGTTATATGACGCCAACTCGATATTACGTTTATAACACTTTTTCATTCGTCGTTTCTTCTTTTACCCGTTACAATTTTATCTTATTAGGAAATTTCAGATTTTGTTTATTTTAGGATTTATTTTTTTGTAGCACATTAATATTAGTAAGACACTATTGGTAATCACAAAAAGTTTTTTTAAACAGCAAATTCTTGGTTTTTCTTTTATTCTTAATTGTATATATTTTTTTGAAACCCCGGTATTCAATTGTATCGCCCGCACTTCAAGAAATTCACTACATATGTATGGTCTGTCTATGATAACGTAGCCAGTTCAGTAGAAATAATGACGCAGGCATATTTCATTGACAAAGAAGAGCTGACAAGATCGACGTCCTATCGAAAATAAAAGCGCTCCATTCAAATGAAGCTTTCTACAAATCATCGAACTTATTTTTCGCACTTTTTCCCTCCCATCCTTTTACAGTGATGTACAAAGGATGGTTGGGTTTGTCATGTGCGTACTCACGCCATCTATACGCCACATACCGAAACTCGTATAATTTTGTCTGTCACACCAAGTGACATATGGTTTGTTTATCCTGTCATTTCAAAAAGGGAAATTTTAAATGTGGAAAACATATTGGAAATAGGGAGCCAATAAGCCATGTAAAATATTCAAAGTTCTTTCTTTTTATTTCTGGAGTTCTTGGCAGCAGGAAGTGGATCGAGCAAAAAGAAAATAGTAAAGTTTTTACCCACGTTAAATACAACCGGTGTAATAATACCCGCATATCACAAAACAAAATTTTAAAAATATTTATTACCTTTATTGCACGAAAAGAGAAAAAAAAACCTCAATAACTTTTGAACAAAAGGAAGTAATCCAGCACCAAACACCTTTGCCAGCATCGATAACGATATTTGGACCACCGATCCCGACTCCTCTGCCCATCGTTGGATACGCTGTTGAGCACCAGGCATTCCGCGGTGCTGAGGTACCTAAAAAATAAAAGAATATAAAACTGATATGGTGTAAAACGAGCTATTGACTTTAACTCATTACTTACCTCCAAACTTATTGATAATTACTTGCGACGGACGGACTGCCCATAAACCTAGAATAAAAGGGTATAGAAAATACGTGGCCTTAAGGGTAGACATTTCCTTTTGTTTTCTTTATTATTCGAATTTTTATTCTCATATCCTCTCCGAATAGATAGAGCTCTCTCTAGGCAGGTAGGACAGGTTATTAACCACCAGGAGTTAGTTGCTCCCATACACAAAAGCTTAATGTTGTCCCTTTGCTTTTACTCCACTTAAAATAGAAGAAAACTTTTTATTCAGGGTTTGAACTATAAAACTAAAATACAACACTCATACTTACGAGATTAACTGACGGATAATAAGCTCCATTGCCAGCAATCACCGCCATAATAGGACCTCTGTTCAGCATCCCTGGAAAAGAAAGAAGAGCAGCCCTCTTATATTAAGTTTATTAAATAAATACCCAAAAGTGGTACTTACCTAAGTTTCGTTATTATGTACAACGTTCAAAATTATAATACTTACGATTTTCGAATATTTTACACTAGTAAAAACTCTCTGCACTAGTAATAACCTTTTTAACAATGTGAATTTCAAAGTTAAAATTATCCACAATTTTTTGGTATTAAAAATTAAAGAACCTTGAATTAAAAATAAAATTATAACGATGGATATGAATTAAAATGTCTTCTCCATAAGGAAATTTAATTGAAGGTTAGGAGGGTGACGTGCTAAAGAAGAGGTAGGTATGGGGGCAATATGAACATGTTTTGATTGCCAAGGTGGAACAAGTGTTCCAGTGGGAGGGAAGAGCTCGGTTTAACACCTGCCGAGTACTTTCATGATTTTTTTCCCATATAACTGGTTGCTTTTTCTTATTTATGCTGTGATAAAAGTCATTAATAGTTTACTATTTCTCTCGGGCTCGGAATACCTTTTTTTTTTTTTTTTTTTTTTTTTAATTTTGATCAGTCTGGCATGATATTTTTTTTTTTGTTTAACGTATTGCCAACCTAGTCAATGTCGTCAAGAACCACCCCCATCCGGCGAGCACTAGCCGTGCAAAAAGCCAACATGCCAGCAATGACGATGTTTGATAGAAAACAGGAATTATGTGAAATCAACTGAAGGTAGTACGCGACAGATTTATGCATGTCAGTCAGTCAGTCCGTCCGTCTGTCCATGTATTTTTGTGAACAAAATGCAGGTCGCATTTATTATCCGATTGAGATGAAATTTTCCAACCAATTTTTGTTTGGCTCAAGGACGAACTCCATTGAAATTGGTGAGAATTGGTTTAAATTTAGATATAGATCCCATATATATCTTCAACCGATTTAGTGTTAATTGTGCACCAAATGACCAATATCAGTCAAAATGACTTGAATTTTGACGCATCCGATCAAATTCAGTCTAGAAGCAAGCACATCTAATTTGAACAAAATCGGTTCAGATAAGCAATAGCTCCCATATATTTCATCCGATTTGGGGTTTAAAGTCCCTCACACGTGTAATATGCACAACACAACAATGATATTTGGTACAAGACATCAGATACACCACAGAAATAAGTGCCTAAAATATTGTGATGATCGGTTCTGACTCCCCTACATATCTTTATCCGATTTCAGGATTATTGTGCACCAAATGGTTAATATCAGCCCCATATGGACTGAATTTTGGCACTTCCGACGGAATTCAGCTTAAAAGCAAGTTCTTCAAACTCCAATACAGGTGAGAAGAAAAAACTGCAACCAACTTCAGACTGCTGTCAATTATATGCAGGATGAGATGAACAAATTGCAACCAACTTCAGACTGCTGTCATTTCTAAGCCACTCGTCCGACAGCTGTTAAAATTATTCCAGTGACAGCTCATTATATTGTTTACAAGAGTAAAAAAGCATTTTGATGAGAATTTCCCAGGAAAAAAGTTTTTCCTGATGGAATTCAAGCGTGATAGTGTGATTTCTTTATATTTTGCTGAAAAACGGCAAGTGGCTATCGTTAGAGCATTCCAGCATTTAAATGCGAATAAATCGTTTTTGTCTCGTACCATCGCTCGTTACCGTGATACTGGTAGCTTAGCTCGACGTCAATGAAAGGATGGAAGAAAACAGCAACATCAGCAGTAATGGTTCAAAAAGTAAAGAAGCGACTTGATCGAAACCCGCGTAGCAGTGGCCGAAAAATGCCTCGTGAGCTGAACATATCGCAATATTCCATTCGGCAAATATTGAAAAATGAGCTTGGGCTAAGCCATTGAAATTCCAAAAAGTGCAAGAACTCACTCCGCAACAGAAAGAAAATAGACTCAAAAGAGCTAAAGAATTGCTTCGCTTGGCCGAAAGTGGTGAATTGCCGAATTTGGTTTTCTTCGATGAGAAAACATTCGTTGTCCAGCGGTTTGTAAACTAACAAACTGATTGTGTTTACTTGGTCACCAGAACTCAAGCGCCGGCCATGGTGATGGTGTTGGCCGCCATAACAGCCGATGGTCGCCCTCCGCTCATATTAATCGACCGTGGCATCAGAATAAATGCCAAATATTATCGCGAAAATATTCTGGAGGGTGTATTAAAGTCTTGGACACGCAAACATTTTGGCCGAAGACCGTGGACATTCCAACAGGACTCAGCACGCGACACCCAACAATGGTTACAAAATGAGGTTCCTCGCTTCATTACCAGCGCACAATGGCCACCAAAATCTCCGGATACCAATCCGTTGGACTATTGTGTCTGGAGTATTTTGGAAAGCAAGGTTGGCACTAAAAAATACCAAAGTGTGGATCATTTCAAGCAAGCGCTTCGCCGGGAATGGGCCAAAATACCGTTTGAAGGCCATAATTCGTGCCAAAGGTGACCAATTCGAACAAATCTGAACTTATTCTAAAATCTGATGCTATTTCCGATAGTGTTTGCTTTCATTCAATAAAATTGAGAAAAATGTAAAAATTATGGCGTTTGACCTTGTTGCAGTTTTTTTTATCTCACCCTGTTTAGTCGGCCCAACTTCAACTTTTCTTACTGGTTTTATTCCAACTATCACTCAACCCAAAGAATCGTGCATCACCTTCACAAGATGCCTTCAGTGTAGGAACGTCTAATTGTGCTGCGATTGTTAATTGTAGTTCTAAATTAAAATGGGAGCTTACGTACACGGGTATTTTACATTTTAATGAATTGTAAATATTTGGCGTTTGTTGTTCTGTTGAACAGCTTTGCCATTGTCATATAGAATTCCGACAAATGTACTAAAAACATTGTGCTTAGTTTATACACTTGAAGATTTCACACGTATTTTGAGATGTACAAAAGAATAATGAGTTCACAAGAACAATAACAACAAAATAAAGAAACTTGCCCGAATTTGTTTTAGGGTCAATGCTGTGTAAAATAATGCCATGAAAGGTGTGAACAGAAAAATGCCATAAATATGCGAAATCTCTTAACTGATAAAATATTTATGTTAACCCGTCATCGTACCTTTTTGTGTAGCTTGAGTTTTGACAAAAGAAAATTAAATATTGTCTGACGGTCTTGTATTTCTTGCACTTTTCTTTTATCTTAAGAAAGCCAAGCAGAAAAGGGATTCAGTGTTAATGACTTGAATTTTTTTATTTTCTTGTTGACATTTCCATTTAACTCCAGTTTGGAGGAGGATAAGAAAATTAGCAATGAAATCAAGGGTTACAATTTAGTCCCGGTGACCTTTTTAGACGGGATGGTTTTTTTGTTTACTGTAAACTCGAAATTTTAAATTTTAGTTATTATGTTGGGTAGAAATTGAATCTGAATGGCTTACAAGTAATTTGGAAGAGCGGCTCTTACTTACTGGCCTAGACGGGTTTCGGAAAACTGTTTTTTTCTGTTGAAAAATCTAAAATTAACCTATTTCACAGACTGAAGACCTCAGTTGTGAAAAATTCACTTTTATCGGCATGAGTACGATAGTTTTGGTAGGGCAATTAAAGAGACGCAGACGTTTCGCACATCTACACCCAATATGAATTGAGACGGCCGCATCAGCCTGAACGTAATTTATCAGACCGGGTGACATTTTGGTTACATTTGGCGAACTTTTTATCAGACTACACTTATTATACCCTGACCCATATGGCTACGGGCCAAATCGTGCCCTATCGAAATAACATTCTTAGACCAAATTCGTTTCAAGACATTTGGAGTCGACTTAGGGGTGTCCGTTCGCCTGTCTGGTGAGCACGACAAAAGTTCATATCCTCAGCCATATGGCTTTTCTAAGCCACTCGTCCGACAGATGTTAAGATTATTCCAGTGACAGCTCATTATATTTTTTACAAGCGTACAAAAGCATTTTGGTGAGAATTTTCCAGAAACAAATTTATTTGTGATGGGATTCAAGCGTGATAGTGTGATTTCTTTATATTTGGCTGGAAAACCACAAGTGGCTATCGTCAGAGCACTCCAGCTTTTAAATAAATAAAATAAATCTTTTGTATTTCGTAGCATCGCTCGTTACCGTGATTATGGTAGCGTAGCCCGACGTCAAGTGAGTGGACGGAAAATAACAGCAACTTCAGCAGAAATGGTTCGAAAACTAAAAAAGCGACTTGATCGTGTTTACTTGCCAAAGAGGTCAGCTGAAAATGTGCACCTTCGGTTGGCCACCAGAACTCAAGCGCCGGCCATGGTGATGGTGTGGGCCGCCATAACAGCCGACGGTCGCTCTCCGCTCGTATTAATCGACCGTGGCATCAGAATAAATATCGAATATTATCGCGAAAATATTCTGAAGGGTGTATTAAAGTCTTGTGCACGCAAACATTTTGGCCGTAGACCTTGGACGTTCCAACAGGACTCAACACCATTGCACTCAGCATGCGCCGCCCAAGAATGGTTATAAAATGAGGTTCCTCGCTTCATTTCCAGCGCACAATGGCCACCAAAATCTCCGGAAACCAATCCGTTGCACTATTGTGTCTGGAGTATTTTTGAAAGCAAGGTTGGAACTAAAAAATACCAAAGTGTCGATCATTTCAAGCAAGCACCACGCCGGAAATGGGCCAAAATACCACAGAGCAACATTCGGGCAGCGTGTGACGGTTTCATTGACCGTTTGAAGGCCGAAGGTGACCAATTCGAACAAATCTAAAATTATTCTAAAGTTTGATGCTATTTCCGACATTTTTTTGCTTTCATTCAATAAAATTTAAAAAAAGTGTAAAAATCATGGTATTTGACTTTGTTGCATTTTTTTCTCACCCTGTATATTAGATTACTGCCTATATGACTAAGGTTCTCCATTTTTTAATGAAAAGGGGTTATATAATGTATTAATTACAGTTTATACGTAGGATTTTGTCATTATTAACTTCCTCCTTTTGGAAAACTCCCAAATCCACCTTCCGTGTCGATTGGTCTTAATTGTGACCTATAGAGCGACTGCATAATTAGGAAAAAAAAAAAAACAATATTGTTGTTCATTTCTGCCTCTAATTATTTTGGGAACATCTTCAAAAACAATAGTCTTCTATTCTGACCTTAACCCAG